ATTTATGCCAGAGTTTATTTCTTCTACCCTTACCTAAAAAGGCTAGGATTGGCTTTTTGAAGCAAGACTAAGTGGAATAAACTCTGACATAAATATTCCTGCCTTAAGGCACTAGTTTAGTAAAGGTTAAAAATAGTGTTTTGAAAAAAATACATCTGCTTATGATGGTGCAGTTATCATCTTAAGCAGATGATAACTGCATCAAGTTACTGCCTAATAAAACCTCTTCTAGGCAAAGACTTTATGGGGAAGCAGTATAATTCTCCTGACCAGCCTCTCACCCCTTTTTCATCTATTACACATATTGCCACAGATGTAAGTCTGTGTTACATAGTTTATTTCTTGGTCTTGTACTGTTTCTTATTTAGATTAATGACTATAGATGTAAGATTGACAATCTTACATCAAGTCCCAATTTGCTAATAACTCAAACTTATACTACTGTCTTGATCTGCTTTTCTATTGCTTAGAACAGGCAGCAAATCTCGGATCAGATCTTTCTTTTGTAACAACTTGGTTAGTAAATCCAACAAAAGTTATTTACTGCAAATATTCATTGTAATATTATTAATGAGTGAATATACATTGTGACTTCTTGTATAAACATTCACTACTGACTTCTCCTGGAAATCATATATACAAACTATTGCAAAGTTAGCATCAGCTAGATTTGTTAAGGTTGCTTATCTTTTTGTGCTTGCCATTTTCTTATTCCTAGTTTTAGTTAATTCCTAGTTATTCCTCTATAAACTTCTTATTTATCCATGTATAGAAAAATCATGTCATATTTGGGCTGGTTTTTCTTATGTTTTCTAGACAAGGTCCTAATACAAATTGTAAATGTATTTGGACCGGCTCTATCTGTTAAGCTTGAGCGACTTCCACCTTCTTGTTAGGTTGCATCCAACAAGCTGCTCAAATAAGCTATAATCTCTTGTTCTATTTCTTTTTCTGTTCTTGTTTCTAATTCTTGCTTGACTCGCAATTCAGCAAAATCACTTTCTTTTATAGTATGTCACTTAATACTCTTAAAACTTTCATTTGGATAGTTTTTTTTTCCCTACACATAAATGCTTTTGAACTCTCTAATATCTTTATGTTTTACTGACTCATAGTCAAAATTAAAGGACAATTTCTCAGGTATATATTAAAAACAGAATAAACACAGTCAATTGTCCTCAATCAACATAAAGTTTTAATTTTATTTGTGATAAGTATCTGGTAAATTGAGTATTTATTTAAGTTGTATTATTAGTAAGGTTTCTAACAGTGATTTGTAAGTCTTGGATTTATAACATTTTTAAAGTGTGACATCTTTAACTACTTTTGTCTAGGGGAAAGTTGCTGTAGTGTTTATTCAATGAACTAAGCTCTCTTCTTGCCAGAGTGCAGGATCGGGATCATGTAAAATATAACTTATACAATATGTATCTACAAATACATATATATATATATATATATATATATATATATATATATATATATATATATATATATATATATATATATATATATATATATATATATATATATATATATATATATAATATTCTTAAATGTCTCAATCTACATTATGTGATGAGATTACATAGTCTATTCAACCAATGAAATCACATTTATTTTGTATAAGTAAGTATGACATACATTTAAAAATTTAGGTTTATTGCAAATATATCTTCGTGTAATGTATAACTTATACAATACATGTTCATACATGTACAATATACTAAAATGTTTTAATCTATATCATACTTATACTATAAGTATATGTATATCAGGCCTTGTTATGAGATTTTGTTGTGTAACGGAAAAACACAACGCGCAAGTAACTTAACTCAATAAAGATATTTAAACTGTTGAAAGTTTAATTACGTCAGTTGCGATTTTAAAATACTTCATTGTAATTAAATTTAAAACCACATTAAAAATTGTTGTAAGTATTTGGAATGAAAATTAAATTAAACAATATTGTTCTAAATTAATCACAAATAAAATTTAAATGTTAATTAATAAAAAAAATTCTTAATTTAAAATCTTAAACTTAATTAAAATTAATTTTTTTTTCTTTAAAACATTTGTTTTATGGTTATTATTTTTTTTTTTTTAATGAGGGGACAATTGTTTATGGTTGATTTTCTAAAAGGGATTTACATATACTTACAACTACACAATTAGATTGTTTTTCCCCTTTACAAAAAATGTTTGGGCTACTCAATTCAATTAAGGCATAAAACAAACTCGTAAAAAAAACAAAAAACACAATAATTAAAAAAAATTTAATTGGTTGTTAGTGACAAACGGAAAAACTTTATATTTAGGTTATGCAAAATGAAATCGTAAATACGTATGTAAATTCAAATAGGGAAATGCCTTAACAAGGCCTTGTATATGAATAAACATTTCCATATATATACATTGAATATACATTTATGTTTATGCATGCATTGAGAAAACTGCAAGTTTTTTTTAATACAGGTTATTATGAAAACTTTAATTTCCTTAATTCCATATTTTTTTAGTTAAGAAAATGAATGTATGTCAATAAAACAGCATTATTTATTAGAAAGTAACAATAATTTAAAAAAAAAAAACAAACTACAAAACATAAATTAAACAAAACATAGAATTTTAGGCGGGCGTGTACTAGGGCAGGTCGATTTTGGATTCAGAGGTTTGGTAATAAAGAGATTTGAATATTAGGTGAAAAAAATATGTTTAGTAAAATTTTTTTTTTGTTTTAATGAAGTTTAAGTTGAGCTAAAAATTTAAAGTTGAGCTAAAATTTTAAATATTTCATTTAAACAAATATTGAAATGCCATCTTTACCATTAATATTTTTAGAGCAAAATTTGGAAAACAGAAACAACTGTTATTAATGTTTGTTTTTTTTAATTTTATCTTAATTTTTTTTAACAGAAAATAAAAAAAATTTAAAACAACAGTTTGATTTTTGAGCAAATTCTGAATTTTTAAAAGAGAACAAAATAGTGCCCAATTTGAATTGGCTTTAAGTTTATTTATTTTTTGAAAAGTAAGGGTAATGATTGTTACAAAACCAATTCCCTATGGACAATCATTTTTATTACTCATTTTAAATAATCATTTAAAACTGCAACACATTGTTACTTTATCTATTTTAATTATATAACTCTATAATGATTCCAAAACTATTCCCTTAAGCGATTTATTCAACACAAGCAGTTTTTGTGCAAATGGAATAAATGCTGTAGCGCTTAACTTATAAACGTTGGAATAGCAATAAGAGAAACTGCACATTTTTTTTTTTTTTTTTTTTTTTTTAACATCTTCACTTCCAACAAGGCTGCAAGCAACCACTATAAGAGTTGGAAGTTACTGGAAGAGAAAAGACTAAATCTATAGAGCAAGATAACGATTGACTGATGACTTAAAAGATTGCAAATTATATGAATCAGGAAAGCAAGATGAAGGAAGCGAATTCCAAAGAACTGATGTTCGAGGAAAAAAACTAGAAGAATAAGAGTTTTTGAAGCACTTAGGAACAGTCACAGAAAAAGGATGAGACTTAATTGAATGGCGAGTAACACGAGAGTGAATTTTAGTAGATGGCACAAGGGACGCTAGCTCTTTAGAGCAGTGCCCATTATAGTATTTGTAGAAAAGAGAAAGAGAAGCAACATTACGACGATGTGACAAAGGTTGGAGATTGGCTGCAAGAGCAGGTCCAACTATGTTTACAATTCGTTTTTGCACCTTGTCTAAAAGAGAAAGAGCATCATTAGAAGATCCGCCCCAGATGTGGCAACAGTATTCCATACAGGGACGGATTTGAGATTTATAGAGATAGAGAATAGAATCTGGAGTAAGAAAGTGTCGAGCTCGATAAAGAGATGCAACCTTAGCAGATGCTAATTTTGCAATGGATTTGATATACGGTTTAAAAGAAAGATCAGAAGTAAGAGTTAATCCTAGAAGATGAATGGTAGATGACTCATCTAGTACATTACCATTCATAAATATAGGAAGATCTAAATTATTACGATAACGATTGGCCGAATAAAATTGAGTTTTATCTGAATTAAAGTTCACCAGCCACTGTGAGCCCCATGCTGTAGCAGAAGTGAGATCCTTTTCAAGCTCAGATACCCCCTCCAAGCAATCAGAGAGTGTAGGCTTCTTTTCATGACAAGAGTAAATGGTAGTGTCGTCAGCGAATAATGCCACCTTAGATGTGAGAATATCTGGAAGATCGTTAATGTAAATTAAAAAGAGTATAGGGCCAAGGATTGAACCTTTTCAAATAACTTTAACTTCAGTTATAAACGTTTTTTTTTTATTTTTTCTTATGCAATTAATTTTAATGTAGAAGAATGCCGTTATGTATAATCTTTTATAAAATATATAATAACCCCAAAAAATAACACGATCAACAAGTAATGCTTTAAAAGTCTTACTTATATTCAGTTAATTTTGAAAATAAAAATAATGTTAGCCCTATAAATATAAGATATGTAAACTTAAAAAAATATCTTGATTTTTGTTAAAAACTTGTTCTGCTAATAAAATCTTAAAATCTAAAATACTTTTTCTGTGTGTATGAATTTAGTAAGATATAGTGCAAGTAAATTTGATTCCATGGTAAATGAATATTTTAATGGAAGTAAAAATAAAAAACAAGTAAATGTAAAAAAGCGATTTTCTTTATTTAACTACAATTTTTATGAAGTTACAAATACATTAATATTAACACCTCAACCATAAGTATAATGGCAAAACAACACAAATTTTTTGTTAACACCTCAATAAATAATTTTTTTTTAATAATTTTAATAAACTTAAAACTTATTTTCTGATGTTTATTTGTCTTGGTACTTAGGACTATTTATATATAAAAAAAAAGGTAATTTATTTAAATTTTAAAACTCTATCTGAATTTTTTTTTTTATGTAGCGAAAAAATATTAGAAACATTTTCTAATTAAAGTTTAAAATATAAATACTCATATGAACTATATATACTACCTTGACACGAATCCCCAAAATATTGATCTGTACATTTACATATGGAATTATTCTTCATCAAATAACAAGTTCCACCATTTTTACATACATTTGGAGAAGGACATAGTATTAAAGTTGTATCTAAAAACAACATATGCACACATATACAAAGTAGTTGCAAACCAAATAAATAATTTTCACTTTTTTTTCAAATAAAGTTGTTACAAAAAATATAAAAAGTTAATATAAGATATATTGAAATGATAAATTATGTTGAAAAAAACAAACTTATGTTCTATATTATTAACACTATAGGCTTTTCAATAAATTATCAGTTTTTATTAATAGTTTAGTATAAAGAGCATGAAAATAATGTAGTCAGGTACATAATAAAAAGCTGCCAAAAGCTTGCATCAACAATCAAAAATTTAAATTCAAATAAATGATTGAATGCTGTTGTAATGCAATGGTAAATAATAAATTTTACAAAGCTTCTTTTATTGTTATTATTGTTTTTATCGTCATTCACCTCCCCAAAGCCAAAAAGACCACTACAGATAACAAGGGTACTTTGGTTGTGGTAACAAACAGCGCTTAACTTTCTATATTAACAACTCTATAACTCAAAAATGAACCTTGAAAAACATGATAGCAGCACAGATAAACAAATTAAGTGCGGCACTACCAGAGTGGTTGTGGTGATCTAACCTGGAACTTATGCAGTGAGCCCTCTACTACTACACCACTCTAATAAATCACTATAATCTCATAAATTGTTAATAAATTTAAGATGACTTTTTTTTTACTTACTTTTTTAATGTAAATGATAAACTTTATTTTTTATTCCTGCTTTTTGCTATATGAAAATTGAATGAATGACCCAGAAATTACCCTTTCTCTTTAAAAGACTTTAAAATTCACATATTTTGCAAATTGTATAAAAATAATGCAAAATGAGATTGCTTTAAATAAGTTTTTCATTTTAAAATTAACTTAATGTTGGACTATTTGGTTGATTAAATGAAAGTTTTTATGCTTTTAATCACTTAATGAAAAACTATGTAAATCTTTTTTGTTCTAGTAACTATTTTATCAGAGTGATATATTTCCTCTGATAAAATTTGACATAAATGTAACATATATTAGATATTCTATATATATATATATATATATATATATATATATATATATATATATATATATATATATATATATATATATATATATATATATATATATATATATATATATATATATATATAAATATAAAAATATATATATATATATATATATATATATATATATATATATATATATATATATATATATATATATATATATATATATATATATATATATATATAGATATATATAGATATATATAGATATATATATATATATATATATATATATATATATATATATATATATATATATATATATATATATATATATATATATATATATGTATATATATATATATATATATATATATAAATATATATATTTATATATATATATATATATATATATATATATATAATATATATATATATATATATGTTATATATATATATATATATATATATATAGAATATCAAATATATGTTATATATATATATGTATAAATATATATATATGTGTATATATAAAATATCAAATATATGTTATATATATATATATATATATATATATATATATATATATATATATATATATATATATATATATATATATATATATATATATATATAGAATATCAAATATATAATATATATAATATATATATATATATATATATATAATATTTTTTTTTTTTTAATTATCTTCGCTTCTAACAAGGTTGCAAGCAACCACTTATTAGTGTTGGAAGTTACTGGAAGAGAAAAGATGAAGATTGTAGAGTAAGATATCGATTGACAGACGACTTAAAATATTGAAAATTATATGAATCAGGAAAGCAAGATGAAGGAAGCAAATTCCAAAGAACTGATATTTGAGGAAAAAAACTAGACGAATAAGAGTTTTTGGAGCACTTAGGAACAGTAACAGAAAAAGGATGAGACTTAATTGAATGACGAGTAACACGAGAATGAACTTTAGTAGATGACACAAGAGACGCTAGCTCTTTAGAGCAGTGCCCATTATAGTATTTGTAGAAAAGAGAAAGAGAAGCAACATTACGACGATGTGACAGAGGTTGAAGGTTGGCTGCAAGGTCCAACCATGTTTACAATGCGTTTTTGCACCTTGTCTAAAAGAGAAAGGGCATCATTAGAAGATCCGCCCCAGATATGGCAACAGTACTCCATACAAGGCCGGATTTGAGATTTATAGAGATAGAGAATAGAATCCAGAGTAAGAAAGTGACAAGCTCGATAAAGAGAAGCAACTTTAGCAGATGCTAATTTTGCAACGGATTTGATATAAAGTTTCCAAGAAAGATCAGAAGTAAAAGCTAATCCTAGAAGATGAAGGGTAGGAGACTCATCGAGTACATTACCGTTCATGAATATAGGAAGGTCTAAATTATTGCGATAACGATTGGCCGAAAAAAATTGAGTTTTATCTGAATTAAAGTTCACCAGCCACTGCGAGCCCCATGCTGTAGCAGAAGTGAGATCCTTTTCGAGCTCAGATGCCTCCTGCAAGCAATCAGAGGGAGTTGGCTTCTTATCGTGACAAGAATAAATGGTAGTATCATCAGCGAACAATGCCACCTTAGATGTGAGAATATCTGGAAGATCGTTAATGTAAATTAAAAAGAGTATAGGGCCAAGGATTGAACCTTGGGGAACCCCTGAGGTTACAGAATAAGAAGAAGAGTGCTCTCCATCAAGGACAACTTTTATACTACGATTGGAAAGGAAGGATTCAATAATCTTAAAGATGTTTCCAGATACACCATAAGAAGAAAGCTTATGGAGGAGACCAGCATGCCAAACTTTATCAAACACTTTAGAAATGTCAAGAGCAATGGCCTTAACCTCTCCACCTTTATCTAATGCGCAATAAAACCTATCGGTTATTACTGATAGCAAATCAGCCGTAGAACGAGAAGATCGAAATCCATACTGATGATCAGAAAGTAGGTTATGAGATTCGAGATGAGAGATTAAGTGTTTGTTAATTAAAGATTCAAAAGCCTTGCTTATGATAGGAAGAAGACTAATGGGACGGTAGTTAGATGAGTCAGATCGCTCTCTAGAATTTTTAAAAATAGGGATAATAGACACTGCTTTCCAGCAGGCTGGAAAACAAGACTCTGATAAGCACTTGTTGAATAGTTTTGAAAAGATAGATGACAGCTCAGGAGAACACTTCTGCAAGACTATAACAGGTATGTTGTCCGGGCCGCAAGCTGTAGAAGAGTTTAAGCGGGAAATCACTTTAGATACATAAGCTGGAGTGATACAAATGTCGAGCAATGGATCAACCTGTTTGACGGGTATATCAGGTAAAACGCAACTAGTGGCATCAAGAGATGATATTGATGAAAAGTTCTTGGCAAACAATTCAGCTTTGTCTTTAGGTGAGGTGACAAAGTCTGAACCGTACAAAAGAGGTGGAACTACAGGCTTGCCCTTATTATTGATACTATTAAAGATTCTCCAGAAGTCACAAGAGCCTAATTTTGGTGATGAAATACGAGATTTCATGATCTGAGAATAGCGGGTTTTGGCGTTAG